ATCGGTGTAGAAATTTACTGGTACTTTTTTCCAAATAAGTACAAGTTGTGGAGTCCAAAGTGAAAATGATTTTCAACAATTGTCGCATTTAAAAACGCTTCCGTGTTTGATGAAGTCGAAGTCCATTATATTATTACAAGGTTATTAACAACACCGTTGTGAAATCTGTCATTGAACCAATGACGTACATAGGTATACATGCATCTATATTTCCATTCGTATTCTCTGCTTTGATGGTAGCGCGTAGGTACGTACCTAACAAGCACACAACTAATATACAAAATTTAAAAATTTCAAATTTTGTTAATGCTTTCTGGTTCTGCTTGATTCAAATTGTTGAATAAACTATATTTTAATCATTTTATGAAATGTTTTAAATATTTAATATAATTATCACAATGATTTAAAATATTTAAATAACAAGCGATAAAATTTATACTGAACTGGAATGTAGGCAGATGAACTTTTTAATTAAAACTCAATTAATGTCCTTGTTTAATTGAAACTTTATTGTTGCAATAATATTACCACAATTTTTTTATTAATCTTTTAATATTAAATCCTTGTTTTATTTCTTTTATAAATTTATTGATTATCACCTTGCTGACAACATATTTTTCTGAATTTTATTTGCACCCTCGCTTCAACCATTTCCAACTACATAGTTTAATTACTTATGCTTCAAAACATGCCTACACTGCAATGATAAACGCAACTTATGATGAAAACATCTTCCAAATAACCATAACTTGTCATAAAACCACCTTCCAAATGTTGAACCAGCAACTAACTCACATAACATTCAGCGCATCTCACATACCATAACCAAACATTAGTATAAAAATAATTGAAACTTGTTATCTAACTAATAAGCGTGATACTTTTTCATCACTCCCACATTAAACATTTGTTCTTTCTAAAAATGCGTGCTAAAAACCCGTTTGGTTTTAATTAATCGGAGATTTAAATTTCTGCCCTAGAAATAAAGGTAATTAATGAAAATGTGCGCATAAAAAAATAAACGCTGCTTCACGTAACTCACACGATGAGTTATTAAAAGGCGATAATGAAGGAAACGTCATTTAAAACTCGGCAAATTACAATTAGCGATAATATGCACATGGGGATAAAAATATTCTTTTAATGTGCCATTTGCAGACGTTTAAAGATTTCATGCATTATCTGTTTGGTAAAAGTTGTTAATGGTTCATTTTTCAAATTAAACTTATTATTTTAAACCGTGCGAGAATTCGCCCAACTTTCTCTAAATATAGGAATGCCATTCAAACCAATGAATCATCAGGGTTTCTGTTTCAACCTCGTGTCTGAAAAACATAAAAAATATAACTTATGCATATTATCAGCAGCCAATTTTATGATATTGAAACTATTAAATTGCAAACATTCAGCACTAGTTTATTCTCAGACTTATTTTGAAAGCTATTCGATAAGCTCAAACAAATATTTACACACGGTGACAAAAAAAAACAACACTCTTTGCAAAAACATTTTTCAAGCCCCTGTTTCCAATAAAATCCTGGGATTAACATTTAAAAAAGGCAAAAACTAAGTTATCTAAGTTTCAAAGCTAAGGTGAAGTGATCGTGGGCCGCACAAAATGAACGACTGGCATATTTTTGAGGTAAGTAATTAAATATCAACAGAATGTTGGGGTGAATGGTTAACATTTTTCCAATGTCATTATTCTGTCGCATGTGTCTGACATTAATACTATACAACTGTATACAACAACAAACAACAACATACGTTTAGACGACATTTTCCCCGAGATCGGGGGTTGCCGTTTGGCTACCTATGATGAAACCATTGTCACTTCTGTCATCATAAGTAATTTATTTGGCTAATTTTTACGCAGGACGCCCTTCCTTACGCAACCACAGTTATAAGCGGTGGGCCTAGCCTTTGATGATCCAACATCACTCACAAGGCAGTGAGGGTCAGTTTAATGTCATAACCAGGACAGACTATACAACTGTATACGGTCGAAACAAAATATAGAAGTGCGTATCATTATTTGTTTTTCATCGAAACATTCAACGTGCATTTGAAACTAGGTTCCCTATGTGGTCTGGGTGACGGTGACATATGGTTTCAATCAGCACATTTCCAATTCCGTTTCAAAGTGAACGTGGGATGGCTGCGATGCACCTCGAACAACAACTTCGACTCAAAGTGTTTTATAATGTCATTTCATGTTATTGCTGCTGCAAGTACGGACTGAGTTGTTCACATTAATAAAGCGTTTCATTGAAACATACGCGAGTTTGTTTGCACAGATTGATCGCGTGCACCGTGAGGGCGGGAGTTATTAGAAGCCATAATGCGTGCGTGTTACAGGTCGGGTCATTTCTTCAGAGCTCAGCAGTAAAAATAACGTAATAACTTGCATTCGTAACACCCATTTGCACTCATTTCTTTTTATTAGGAATGAAATTGCATAAAAGTAAATTCTACTGCCAACATATAAATAAATAAATAAATGAACCAAAAAAATAATTTTATTTGGTTTTGAAGTGGAATCGTTCATTGTTCAATTAGTTTCAATTACAATGTTGAAAAGAGGGGCTTGAAAGAGCTTATGAAACAATCCATCAACAGTAGTTGTTTGTAAATGACCGACCGTGCAAGCGTTCGGTCGTCTTTAAACAATATTTCAAGTGCCTCTTTTATAAGCACGCGAAATTCTGCAACTTCTCGGAATTGAACGAGTTGCGGTGCTCATCAATTTGTCATCAGACTGGCAGCTTGAAAAATGCTATTTTATCACACAATTTTGACAATTACCTACTTTTTTTACTTTAGTTTCGTGTGGACAGTATACATGCAGTCTTTTTAAACAACACTCAAGTATTCAAAACATTTTTGCTTGGAATTTATTACCATTAAATGGTAGTATATAATCCAATTTTAATCAATCAACAGCAGGGTTGTCAGAATTGTTTGTGAGGGCTTGTGTTTTATGGCAAAAGATGGCAGTTTTTTTGGCTTATCTCATAAATTGATACTAATTTTCATGTTAGAGCCAAAATATTCGGTCTAAAAATGCTGAAAAAATATTTATAATGTCGGCAACCGCCTACGTAGGCAACCATGTACAAATAGTTAAAATAATTAAAAAATTGTGATTTTTTTTTGTCATCTTTTCATTTTTGTACTACATCCATATTTCACGTGCCTATTTTATCATGATTTGATGAATAATTTAAATTGAATTGAATAGATAAATAGATTAAATTCATAAAGTAGAATGCTCTGATTGATATCTAAATCGCAGGCTACTCCCAGTGGCGGATCCAGGGAGGGAAGACTGGATCGGTTTAGTCGATTTCGTGATTATATTTCATGTTTAGTTCAGACTTAATTTATTCTTTCACTAAAATTTCATGATTAGTGATCATGGCTTTTTGTATTAGCATTATCTTATCGTAACTCTTCTTTATAAAAATTTTGCTGAAAGCCACAGTATTATCGTTGCCAGGAGGCGGCAGCAGGGTTGCGGACCGTACCGGGTGACACAGTCTCAGAGAAGAATAAAAAAATATTGAGCAGACGTTGCTTGGCTTAGTCGTATTTAATAAGCGGATAACTGACTGTAGGGCTAATTGAATAAATAAATGTCTAAACGGCAGCACACAGGCAGAACCCAGATGGCTATATCCATTCCATAATTTGGCGTTATTTGCGAACTAAATAATAAATGAGGCTGAATCGATCAACCGACTTGGAGGCGTTCCTAGAGACCGAGCGTTTCTCGGGGTGGCAAAATGGGAACATTTTTCCCTGCCAAAACTACAATAATTTTTCACGATTTGTGTGTCTTGTGTAGTTTCATCTAAACGGAGCTATTGAAACTTGAAGCAGATAAAGAACTACTTACGATCTACCATGGGACAATTGAGGTTTTCAGAAAACCGTTACCTGGTCTGGTTCTCTTATCAATTAAAAGTGATATAATGAAGAATAATAGATTTTGATGAAGCTGTTGACAAGTTTTCAGCTCTGAAGACCAGTAATGGACATTTTTAAGATCGAAGCTCTGCCAAACGCAGAGCTGCATATTACTTGTTACGTTTTTTATACTTCATAACTAAACTTTCGTGCCACAAAGGATGTACACTAACCACACCACACGACGCACATACGCATACATGCACGCGCAAGCACAGTATCATACGCGTATGATGGTCTTCGTGTTTCGGACAGTCAGTATTCAAATTATGCCATCGCGTAACAGCAGCGCGAGACATGGCACTGCCACCGACTGAGCTAACTCAGTTCTTTCAGCATGTGTGAGTTTGTTACTTTCTTATCATTTTGATTTTTTACATTGTGAATGAATAAGAATAAATCTGGAGGGATGACACCGTGACTACCGCACTGGGTAAAATCAAACCCTAGCGACGCAACTGAGTAAGAGCATCATTGTCGTCACACATCCATTATAGTTGGTACAAGCAGATCATAATTAGTTAGGATTTCGCTGGTTGGCGCGAGCTGAAATATAGAATAAAATAACGCAAACGCTTTCTGATCAACGTTCATGTCAGGTACAATAACTCGATTCCTACGTAATTCAATGGTAGTGGTATTCATGACCTTTTTAAAAGCACAAAATTAATAAAAATTAAAAATTATTATATAGGACATAATTGTTATTATTATATGTATATGAACCATATATATGTGTGTATCATCATCATAGATTTTGAACGGCATGATGCTATAAAAATTTTATATATCAAACAAAATTATTATTGTGTGATTATTGTAATATATATTCTAAATACATGTATAGAATAAATTATAAATAAAATAGATTAATGTCATAAATGAATATATATATCCATAGTTAATGCATAAATGTTATCTGCAAACAATCAAAACTAAAAGTGAACCTAACGTAGGCCAACCTGTTTGCTTGCTGGACGGGACATCGCTAGGGTTCGATAAATGTGCCTTTTAAACTTCTGCTTCTCAACTCGACCTGGCGCCGACGACTTGAAGGACCTCCTAACCTTAACCTAATCTGATCAGAAGGTGCTTCAAATGTTTCGTTTTCGTACATTCGTGATTCTGCACCCGTTGCAAATGTTTGATTGATGGCTGCCTTCTTTATTTTTTTATCTTTTATGTTATGCTGCTTTACTTTACTTTTACTCTTTTAGTAGTTTTAGTTTAGTTAGTAGACTTTTATAAAGAGGGTAAGTTAAAAATTTTAACTTAAAATTAAAGCAGCATAAAGCAGTAAAGACTGTTTACCTTCTTATTGCAAGCATTCAGTCATTCATTTGGTAGTGGTTCATTCATTTAGTAGTGGTTGTCATGACACGATGTTATTTTTTTATCATTTATTTTAAATTTTAACACTGCTTTTATGAATTATGATGCTTCTTGTTGTATAATATACAATACAATACAATGCAATAATATACAATACAATATAGATAACTTGTGACATTATCTTATCAGTTGTAATTTTATTTTGGATTGGATTCATGATGTTTTACATTGGATTCATGATGTTTTTTGGTGAATTAAACAATAAACTAGCTATGTTGTATTATATTTTGAGTAATTAATCATTGTTGTATAAATATGTAAAATGTAATATTGTATAGTATAGTGTGCAGTTGTAACTGTTTTGAATAATGCACTGAATAGAAGAGAAATTTATTTTATAAAGTAAAGAATTTTTTTATTTTCTACAAAATTGTTAAGATATTTAATTTGAATTTAGGCCTAAGTGATAACATAGTTTCACAAAGAATTTTTTCCAAAGGAACAAAAAGATGAAGAGCTGCCTTGTTAAAAATGCAAAACATTGTAAGTATCTTTTTTCCAATTTATTTGTTATTTTGTTGAATTATCAGTTTAGAATATTATTTAGTACCATGCTTAATTAATTGGTCTAAAATTCATTTAATTAATATTTGTTTTTGTAATTGAGATAGTAGTGACAAGTTAATTTAGTTACTTGAAAGAGAACAATTATTATATTAGTGATCATAAAATATTGAAATTTAGTTTTGCAAAGAAATTTCATCAGACCAATCAGTTCTTTGGCATTACTGCCGGAGACTCACCAAATGTTGCATAAAATGTTGAAAGGCTTTGCAAATGAAGAACTCAAGCCTAAAGCTGCTTTGATTGATAAAGGAGTCTTTCCTAAGGAGCAAGTTTGAAATAATTCTTTTTTTAGTCATTTACTTTTTACTAGATGGCTATGATGTGATTTTATCACAGTTCAATCATTTAACATATCTAGATTAAAAAATTAGGTGAGCTTGGTATGATGGCAATAAATGTTCCAGAGAAGTTGGGTGGTGCTGGTTTGAATACATTAGCATATTCTATCGGGATGGAGGAGATAAGTAGGGGATGTGCTTCATGTGGTGTCATTGTCAGTGTTAACAATGTAAGTTCACTTTTCATTACATTAGATTTTGTACATTTTAATTCACTTGTCAAGGGTTATTGTTATTTTAAATATAATGCAAATAAGCTTTTCAAAAGAATCATAGATGTGATAGTCCATTTAACTAAAACTAATTTGTCACAAAAGAGTCTTTACTTGGGATCTTTAATGAAGTTTGGGACAGATGAGCAGAAAGAAAAGTGGGTTGTTCCTTTCACAAATGGAGATAAAATTGGATGCTTTGCCCTCAGTGAACCTGGTTATTTTCAACTCTTATTTAATTGTTATTCTGTTAAAATCTGTGCTAGATTGAAATGTTTTCTATTACTCTACCGTGCTTTTAAAAATACACTGTTAATTTTTTCATATTTATAGTTTCATCCTTATTCAAACTATTTAATCAACAGTTTTTAATATATTTTATAAGTTTTTAGTTTAAAAAGCTTTCCAATTGAGATTGAATCAGTTGAAATTATTGAATTAGATCTCATCCATAACAACGGTTTATTGAAAATATAGACAGTAAATAGTGTTCTTTATAAAATGGAGATTAGACTCAGTTATTCTAAAAATGTTTTATTATGCCAAAATTTATATTTATTTATGAGAAAATTGTTGCAAAAAATCTAAAAGGACACGGTCAGAAAATATGTACTAAGTTAAAAAAATAATAAGAAACAGAAGTGCTATAGATTTTTACAGATAACACTATATGGCAGAAAAAATTAACTGACTCACATTTGTCTCTTTGATGGTTACAGCTGATTTTGGAACTACTTTCAAAGGATTATTTAATCATTTTTACAGAATTAATAGAAAATATTTGACCTAATTATTATAATGACAAACACTTGGTAGGCAATGGTAGTGATGCAGGGGCGGCATCGACAACAGCCAAGGACTGCGCTGACCACTGGCTCCTCAATGGCACAAAAAGTTGGATAACAAATGGACCTGAGGCTGCTGCTGCTATTGTAAGATGGTTTGTTTACCTTCATAATTCATGTATTATCAGTGTTTTCGTTTTGCAGCTTTTCTTATTATTTTCTAACGAAAACTTTTTCATATTTTCAACACTAATGTAGGTTTTTGCCACTACAGACAAGATTAAAAAGCACAAGGTTGATTTGGAATTTTTTGTTGATGTATTTTTCGTTTTTCATAATATTTTAATTTATTAACAGGGCATAAGTGCCTTCATAGTTCCAAAACCAGTTGATGGTTTGAGCTTGGGGAAGAACGAAGACAAGCTTGGTATTAAGGGGTCATCGACCTGCCAACTCGTTTTCGAAGATTGTAAAATCCCAAAAGAAAATATTCTTGGTGGTCCTGGTGCTGGCTTCAAAATTGCTATGGTTCATTTCAACTGTCATTTTGATTTTATTTAATTGAAAATGTTGAGTTTTTTAAAGCTGATAGTAATATTTTTTCAATTTTAAAAATTGCTGTTATTTCCAAAAACTGTCTTAATTTTTTGTTCCAAACAAAATTTGTAAGCTCATGTATGAACATTAGTGCTGTATCGTACACTCAACTCTTAGAGCTGCAGAAGTTTGTTCTGCATTCAAATGGGTTTTTCATTAGTTTTTCATTTAATTGAAACAACCTCAAGCATGCCACCGAATTTGTGCTATTTGTTACGTTGCAACATTATTTATTTTTCAAATAAGAAATTCACTTGAAATTATTAATTTTGAAATAACTTTAAATATTTTAGCCTTTATTTTGATTCTTCTTACAGACAGTTCTGGACAGCGGTAGAATCGGAATTGCCTCACAGGCACTGGGCATTGCTCAGGTATCTCTTCTTCTTCAGTTTCAATCAAATTTCATAAAATAGAAACTCGTTTGTTTGATTTTCCAAAATGAATGATTTTTTAATGCTCTTTGTACTCTACTTTATGCTCTAAAAAAATAAACAGCATTGTTTTAATATTAATATTTTTTGTGAAGGCAGCCCTAGATTGCGCTGTTGAATACTCTTTAAAAAGAGAAGCTTTTGGGTCACCAATCTGTAAACTGCAATCCATTCAAGTCGGTAATTAAATTGAAAGTTTCAGTTTCTTCTGTTTTATATTTTCTTTCTAAGTTTTACAATGCATATAATAATTTTTACATTCTATCCATTAGATACTACTTTTAAAAAATTTTGAAAATTGATTATATTTGTTGAATCTACTTAATCCTACCCATTTATATTAAGATGCTTTTTAAAGTCCACTTAATTAATATTTAATTATTAATATTTTGTTTTCTAGATGAAGTTAGCTGACATGGAGACGAGGCTTGAATGTGCCCGACTGCTGACGTGGAAGGCAGCCATGTTGAAAGATACTGGAGAATCATTTTCTAAAGTGAATCATCTATCAATCGTTTTTTTTTAAGTTTGCACATTCTGTCATTATTTATATTTTTTGTTCGTTTTAAATGTGAAATGTTTGTGATTCAATTGTTTGTTATTAGCATGCTTGTATGTAAATAAACGTAAATCTTCAAGAAAGAGTTTTTGAAATTGCATTTTAAATATTTTTAATAAATTATTCTAGTTGTTTAAACTGAAATGTTAAAAAAGACTAAGGTTTAAAATAAAGGATGTATTGCACATCGTACAAATGATTTTAATGAGTATTAGTTAAGTCCCTTCGAATTTCTTAATATATTTACGCCACAGGAAGCTGCAATGGCAAAACTGGTTGCTTCAGAAGCTGCCACGTACGTTTCCCATCAGGTAATTATTTATTAACATATTTGTCAATAATAATGATTGCTATGCCACATGATTCATTTAATGAACCACTGACTTTATTGTTTACAGCTATGAAGATTGTATTTAAAATTTAGATATAGCTGAAAATGTTCGCAGTTTGGACTAGATTTTTTTTAAATGTTCACCATTGTCGAGGTATATATTTAAAAAATCTTTGCAGTCAATGCAGATATTAGGAGGCATGGGTTATGTGTCAGACATGCCGGCTGAGCGTCATTACAGAGACGCCAGAATTACTGAAATTTATGAAGGCACCAGTGAAATTATGAGAATTGTTATCGCCCAAAACTTGTTGAAAGAATATCATTTTTAATTTATTTTGATTCTGATCATGAATTTATTGTATTATATACATTACGCCATTTTGCATCTTTAATTTGTTAATATACTAAACCTTTGCCTTTATTTTTCTACACTTTTTTCGATGGTGCAGTTGAACATTTTTATTTTACGATATATTAAAAATTGTAAATGTTTTAAAATTGTTTGGTTATATACACTCAATATAAACCTATGTGTGACTCTTAAGTCTTATTATATGGGCATATTTGTTGCAGAATTATATAGTGGTGATAATCGCAAAAATTATTTTGTAATATTTAATCAACCTTGATGAACGTTTTATCTTGTTCGTACAGTTTTATTTGTGATCTGGTTTGTGAATTTTTTTGCCATGCATGTATGTGTAGGTGTGAATACTTCACGGCTGACACCATGATTATTATTTAAATGCTCGTTATAATCACTCTTCCCTACTACTTAACACTCACTTACGAATTTCATAACGTACCTTCAGACCCATTTGTTTGCAAAATTTACCGAGAAGTACTATGAATCACAACGGAAATAATGCCTAAAAATTGATTGAGTGATTGATTGATTGATTGAATGAGTGATGGGTTGTACATCTTGGCTGAAACAATGTTGCCATCAGTGTGAAATGTTTCGAGCGGAAGACACAAAGGTTTCTCCTGATATCTTAAATATCTTGGTTCAGAAACGTTTGAGATAACCAATCAAAGCTTTAAAACAAACTGGCTTTTGAAAATATCGTGCCATAATTGCCGGTTTTGAATTGAATTATGCTGTTGCGACAACGTGAAATTTTTACATGGGAATTGAAAGTTTGCATTTGAACATAACGTTGGGCGAAATCGGAAAGCGTATGCCTTGTTACCTAACCACTCTTTACAACAATCTGCTACTTAATGATTTTCTGGGAGACCTTTGACGTGAGATTTCATAGGAAAATTAGGATCAAGAGCGATGTCAAAATCTATAAGTGGTTCTTTGGAGTCTCTCGCTCAACGACGTTTACACTATTTGGTCTAAGTGTGGCAGGCACTTAGTTCTGTTTGAGTTTGACTTGGTTTACTAGCAGACCACCAGTGTTTTATTCTTTTTATATTAAAAGAATTTAAGACAGTAGTTTAATCGCTGAAATATTTGATTTTTCTGGAAGCGTTAGACGTTTACATAATGTTGAGTTATCATTAAAGCTGTTGAAGATACCATGTAGATGGGTGACGTCAAAGCTACTCTAGCCAAATGTACAGCAAAGTTTATAAATGGAAGAATGTAAATGTCATTATACTAGCACACAGAAGCAGCCATTTTAGCTAGAAATACTATTAATTTAAGTTTGTACTATATATGAGAGTCAGAAATGCACGTAATTATATATGCCTATCTACATGCACATACATAATTAAAACAACGGTTCATTGAAGATGTAGATATCTCATTTTAGAATATAGTATAGGCCTATAGGTTCATATAGATGGCACATTTCAAATTATTGATTTTGTCTTTATAATTCGTGTAAAGTTTGAGAGAATGAAAAATGTTACGCAATTTAATGCATTTCTAATGATTGAATTTTGATTTCTAAACCGAATAAACTATTTTCATCGTCTTGTTTCTATTTTCATCGAGCCAGAGACGACTTGTTCTACGCAGTAACAATTCGTTGTTGTAATACACGTTCGCTGCAAATCTCAGTTTTATGAATATTTTGCACGGGTTTCTATTAGAAATTTTTCATTATAAATAGCATGAATTGATTGAAAGAAATAAGAGAAATCATAAAGAAATAAATATTCTATCTATGCCCAGCCCAGCGCTTTGAACTCAAGCAGAAAAATTTTAATGTAAACAAGTAGGTTCCTCCGTTGCAATATAACAAAAAGTGCTGCGAAGTTTGCCTAACAAAATCCTCATCATCGCTGCATTAAGTTAGTTGTTTGTCACCAGAATCCACTAACATCTTCATCATGACGTCATTTTTAAGCAACATTATTGGTAATCCCTTTGCCACTCAAATTGGCCAAGCTATTGGTATTGTATTTTACTTTTTTTATTTTTTCTAATGTGGACACGGGACTATGACTCACCTGACTGACCAATGTAATGTATTGACTTCTTTTGACTATTTTAATTATAGATGAACACAAATGTAAAACTATCATTTGTTATGTCACATTATTCAATTATTGATTATTTATTTGGATTTGAAAATGAAAATGATACTGTGAATATTAAATTTATTAAATAATAAATTATTATTTTTTTAATTATTATTATTATTATTAATGAATATAAAGATCCAAATGATAATGTTATATATAATCATAATCACTACATTCTCTACTAATAAATTCTCAATAGTCAAATTCATATGTTTATAAAATTGAAGAAAGAGCATCAAATGTGACAGAAAGTTTTGAGAATTGGGCTTTGTACATGGAAATATGTGACATGATCAATAACAGTGATGATGGGTATGTATGGTGTTAAATACAATTATGAATGATATTTTATTTTATTAAATCATTATGGATGTTTATTTGATAAAAATTCAAGTGTTTTTCAATAAATTAAAATTTTATTATCATCCGTAATCATTTTATTGCTGTCATTATTTTAAAATCTTTACTATATTTATTTTGTATTATTTCTATTTCAGCCCAAGAGATGCAATAAAAGCATTTAAGAAGCTGATTGCCACCAACGAAGGAAAAAATGATATCATCCTCAATCAAACATTAACTGTTAGCAAGTTATTCAACAAAATTTTATTTTTAACTTGAGTATCATTTTTAAATTTTAAACTTCAAAATATCTTTGTCTTGATTTACATTATTGTTCATTGTTTTTTAACTTTCCTGTGGTACATCACATCACGTCAAGTTGATGGCAAAGAAAACAACGTCCTACCTCGGGAATCGGGTTTCTGGACGCAAAACGAAGATTGATTGATTGATTGTTTGGTACATGTAGCTATACATATGTAACATTTACTAGGAACTTCTTTTCAGGCTATCTATTTCTATTTGTTCTGATTATAAAATTTAATTAACTTGAAGGTTTTGGAAACATGTGTGAAGAACTGTGGTCACAGGTTTCATGTACAAATTGCCAATAGAGATTTTCTTCAGGAAATTGTTAAATTGCTTACAACCAAAGTCATGCCCTCTCAAATTTTGGTTGATCGAATGCTCGGCCTTCTTCAAGTTATTATTATTTTTTACTTGGTTGCTTTCATCTTTTTTTTTGTTATTTTGTTTCTATTCCATTTTTTTGCAGAATTTATTTATTTTTGTATTGATAATGTCGATAAAGTTGCAATACAGTTTTAACATTGATCAAATGAGTTTCAGCGAATGACTTCAACATTTTCAGACCTGGGCAGATGCCTTTCAGGGCGTGAATGGCCTTGAAGAAGTGAGCAAAGTCAACAAAGAACTGAAAGAGAAAGGGTTTGAGTTTCCAGTAGTCGATGTTGAGCGGGCACCACCCATACACACTCCGGCCAGGGTTCATTAATTTTTTTAATAGCTATATAGAGTGTTGGTATATCTTATCAAGTTAGAAAAAAAATTAGGATGATAATTCATTAACAAGAAAAAAGGTTTAATCCAAAATTTTGTTATTAATCAATTCATTAATTTTGACTACTTCTATTGTTAAATTAAAATTTAGGTGTCTTTTTGTCTTATACATTATACTTTAAATGAATAAAGTTCATGAGATGCCATTCAAGAAGTTTTCAATCAACTTCTGTCTTAATTTTAGTTTTTATAATAGCCCAATTTTAATATTTGAATGTTTTTTGAAATAATAAAAGCTGTACAACAAACTCAAACAGAAAACGAACATAACAGTGGATCCTACAACTCTGCAAAAACCTCACCATGTGAGTGCCACTGCACCATCTGCCGCTCCACAGCTCACTGAGGATATCAGCCTCAACAATGGTTTCTCAACATTTTGTTTATACTGAACATTTCTTATCATGTAGAAGTGGTATTATATTTTTATCTAAAAGCTCTGAATAAATATTTGATGTTATTTTGGTTAACTGTCATTGTTGGTCATTTAAAAAAAGCACTTTTTTTACATTTTTTTTATGTCTTTTGATTTGCTTTTTGTCATTATATTTCAATTTTAAATTAAATTCATATTTTTCATTGTCACTCAACTTAGGTTTTTATATTTCTGCTTCACAAATGGCAAAATTAAAAAGTGAACTGGATGTGGTGATACAAAACTGCAAAGTCTTCAATGAACTCTTGAATGAAAACACACCTGGACAGGAAGCTGATGAAGATTGGAAACTAATGGAAGTTGGTAGTTTGATCATCCATTTCATCGATGTTATATTCCTTCTACAATCGATTGTTTTTTCATTTGTCTCCAGCATATTTGTTGACATTTGTGATAACTTTCCTTAATTTTGGGACCATTGTCTACTATATTTTTATATTATACATCCATAATAAATCCATTGCATCTGTTTATTCATTTAATATGTTGCTCAAATATTCCAATAACATCATGAATTTTTAAACTGTTTAAATACTGTTTTTTTTCAAGGTAGTTGGTGGAATAAATTGAGGAAATAATTTTTACAGACTAAATTGCGTCTAAGTTCTTTCATTGCCTCACAGCATTTTACGTTTTTATATTAATTATGGGCCTATTGTTTTGTTAGGAAAATAATGTTTTAATGTGTTTTACTGAAGGACTGTGATATTCATTTATTTAGTTGCGACCTTTTCAAGTTTAGTTCTATTTGCTAAGATTCTGAAATAAGCTTTTAATTTAAATTTTTCTAAAATATTTGAAGGAGTTGAATGCGACGTGCAAGGAATTCCACAGAAGACTTGTTGAATTAGTGAGGAGGTACACCATTGAAAATCTTACCAGTTAGTTGATGCTGTCTGCTCTTTTTACTTTTAATAAACAGTAGAGGTAATTTGTTACAATTCGTAAATTTTATAAATTTTAAATTTTATTTTAAACTTAAATTCAGATAAATTTTACTTAATTATAACTATAAATTAACTATAAATTATTTAATTATTTTGTAGGTGATATTCTGCCGGTGAATGATGAAGTGACGAATGTAATGTTACGATTTGAACGGTATGAGAGATTGAAGAAGGGCTCAAGTAACACAGAGGCTGCCACTTCAGACGAATCTCAAAATTTGGTTTGCTTATTATCAAATTATTTTGTTGATATTTTCATTTTTTGAATAATTAATATTAATATAAATGCAGGCTTGCATATCACCTGAATCAGGTGCCATACAAACTGGAAACGTTATGTCAGTCAGCAAGGAAGCCACTGCTGCTTCTGCCTCTATAAAATCGTCACCATTAAAAACTGCAACTGCCGACGTCAACGATTTGCACAATGGTTAGCTTTGTGATTGTGATGATGGCCTACCTAGATAATATTTTTTGTTGTGAATAATAAATAATTACTGTTTGTGATATTTTATATCATTCTGGTTTAATACTTAATTAATTTTCTTCTACTGATTACTGTTGAATAATTTTTATAGTACATTTATTTTGTGTGTTCGTCTTCGTGGTTAAGGTTTTAAATTTTGTTGAATCCAATGAAAATTCACTTTACTTATCTTCCAACATTGAAACATTTCAATCCATTCAGTCTTCAACCCTTTTGCTGGAGTCTCGCAATCAAATGCTTATAAGCATAATAGGTTGGCTCAATTTAATTACTTGCTATGTGATAATTCATTCAATAAATTAATTTTTCAAAGTTAATCTACGTTCACTGTAAACTCGTAAATGATAATCAGCATTATTAGCGGAAATATTTATTTAACTTTTATGGATAAAATTTTCGTAATTTATTAAAGTTTTGAACTCATGTAAATAAAATTATGAATACTTAATTGATATTATTTTTTAATATTCAATTAATTATATAACATTTTCATTTTTTTTTTGTTTTTTATTCACCGAAGTCCTAAAGAAGTGGAAATGTCAAAGGTGGTGAATGCATCTGAGTTTCATAAATCATCCCATCCTGTCACTAATGACTACACCAATCAGGTCGGTAATCTGATCATTATAAGTTACATTTTATCTTTTTTGTTTTCCAACTTAATGTTATTTTACATACATTCATGGCACAAAGCTACCTCTTACATTTTGTAAAATATAATTATATCTTTTACACGTTGACCTCATTTCATTGTTGATTGTGCTCACTTCTTTTTTTACGGTTGTTTGAGAGCTCATTTTTGAGTTCAGCAAGTGATCTACTCATAGACAGGCTTTTAGCAGACAAAAATTTTGGATATCAGAGTGTTTTTTATGATTCTGGGTGGATGGCCCTGCTTTGTGATGATGTTGCATGGGTCTGATGGACTGTACGATTGTTGAAGGAACTGCGAGGAGAGGGGGCTGTTATCTCCTTTGAGAGGCCAGGCTTTGAGGTTAAGTTTGTTAAATGCTTGCTAATCAGAAGGGGCAAGTTTTTAGCTTCTTACAAACTGCAAGACCAGTAACTGAACTTTGAACGAACGAATGTTTCACAACTAAATGTTAGGCTAACTGAATTTTAATTAAATACTGTAGATTAACGAGTTCGTATTGCAACAAAATTATGGAGGTAGATGATTAAAAATCTGTTCCTTTTTTCTGTTCATCATATTGAACTCTGAATGTTTTTATTGCAGGAGTTGTTGATTGATGCAAGTGACAGTGGAGCTACTTGCAGCAACAACCAGGTAACTATTTAATTTTTTTTCATCTGGTATCTTAAAGTTAAGTAAATGTTACGCATTGTCGTTTAAATTTCGCTGATGCATCGGAATAAATGTGTTTGTGTTATTTTCTAATATTTAATACAATATAAAAATTAATTGAATTTTTATTTTTAATTGATAAACTACAGACTACTGCGTCCAGTCAGGAATTTGATAAGTTTCTCGCCTCGAGAACTTCAGAGAATCTTACAATCAGCCAGGTCTGCGTGAACACGACGAGCAGCAAAGGCAAGGAAAAAGAGGATGAGTTGTTTGGGCTTTGAACGGCTTCTCGTGCATACATAATACGTACATCTTCATCAAGCATTCACTAATTTCTTTCGTATTCCTCAGCCCTTCTAATTATATCAAATCTTTTCTCAGTTTATTCAATCATTTCGCGAAGTTATTTAATTTTCATGAAAGTGTCTCGATTTCAGATTGAAACTTTCGAGTCAATCGATATATTTTATTTTTTTCTTATAAAAATAATCGTTTGTATATCAATAAATGTATCATTTGTATATAAATTAAACTTGATAATATTTTTAGAGTGTTCTATCACATAGCAGTTGTAAATTCATTCTTCTCATATTATATCCTATTTGCATAGCCTGTCAATCAAAACAAAGTAGAGAAAAATTATATGATTATATAAGATTAAAAAACTTTCATTCAGAGCCGATCTATTGGTGTATAATATTTTTAGATTGACGATTGTATAATAGGACAAAAACTTGTTCGTGGTCGTTTTTTTACAAATGTCTTTTGTCGTCAATAATTTATAATTTTATTTGAATGTCAGTTTTTAAGTTGCTCCATTAATTTTTTAATTGTAAATTTTTTATTTAATTTATTATTCTTTGGACTCTGATAAATCGAATTAATTTGATAATGCGACTTAGACTTATGATCTAATTTTATCATTGTGGCTTTGTTAATTTTTTTATTAATTTAAAAGGTGATTTAAATAAAAACAAATTTTTTGCTTGAAAGTGTTGGACACTAGAGTAATGGATAATTTTTTGGAGATTGCTTTTTGGAAAAGGTAATTGTAGCATGACTGTTAGATGGAGTCACTGCAATCTAGTTTAATAATTTTCGTGGTTGCGAAGCTTTCGTTTGTTTTTCGATCTTAATTTTCTTTTAATTTAACAAGTTTTATCTTTCACGGACATTTTTCAATTCGTTGACGTACGCACTCACTTCTCTAACTAAATGTTCCTTTTTGATCTCTTCTCCCACCAGATTTTATGTTGTGAAGATTCTGATCCTGACTTAGCTACGAAAACTTATTGTCGCAATCTTTTCTTTACTTCTCATGGCCTTATATTTTCATAACACATGATTAATTTGGTTTGCAATATATGCTTTGCGATGCCAATTTGCACTGCAAAGCATACACAGTTACACAAATTTTATAAATCATTAACCAGATTAAAACAAACACCACCCTATTCAGTTCAGTTACCATGGTCTACATCGTCAACCTAAATAGTTATAGTAATTAAAATAACATTAATTAAAACGGTAATAATAATAACCTCCATAATAATACAAAAAATTTGCTAAGCTGGATGGATACGTACTCACATGAAATTTTCTCAATTATTCTCAAGTAATGTAATTCAAGTAATGAAATTATGTAATTCAAATTACAATTGTAATTTGTATCGAAATTACTTCTTAAGTAATTTGTAATTTAGTATTTTCATCTTTCTTGTAACTTGGTAATTTCAAAGTAATTTCAAATTACATTTTGACTAAAAAGTATAGTTTATATGTGAGTGAACAAATTATTATTATTATTATATTGAAAATTTTTTTTTCTTGAAATTCTAAATTCTAAAAATTGAAATTCTAAAAAAAATTTTAAATTCTAAAAATTTATTTGATTAAAAATTTCATTTGCTACTTTGAAGTTCTATGGTCATATAGCTACATCAAAGAAGTTAACTTTTTTGATGTTTGACGCTTTTTTTCTTTCTTTCCTTCTTTCTTCAGTCGTTCATTAAACGATTGAACAAATTGTTGATCAAAAGAAAGTAAATTAATAAGGGAATATGAAAATGAATATCAGCGCAAAGAATAATCAATGTTTAAATAACTTCAGAGAAAATTTTTTTCTTCATTTAATTGGCCCATGGTGATTTTAAGTTTGTGTCTGTAGATATTGGTAGGATTGATGATTATAAAACTATTGGAGTTCGTTTGATTCAGTTTAGTTTTGACATTCATTAACCATGGAAAGTTTAAATCAGGATAATAATGCTAATTTATCGGATTTCATTGCAAAGTCAGCTATTTTGGATGGAAAATACTTCACCGAAGTTGAAGTTGCTGATAATAATGTAAAGGTTAAAGCAAAATGTAATTTTTCCTCAAAAAGACAGTCATATCTGGATCAATTAATGCACTGTCGAATTTCACAACGCATTTGAAAATAAGTTTTTTGATTTGAATAATTTTCTGCAATTTTTGTGATTAAACTTTCAATTTGAATTTGCTAACTAACAAAACTTGTGCAGTCAAAGTTATTTCGTACTCAAGCTGCGGTTGATAAACTTATAACTAATTTTATTATAAAAAGAATGCGCGCCCTATCAACGGTTGAACAACCTGTGTTTATTGAACTTGTAACTGGATTATGTGGTTCTGTTATTGTTTTGTCTCGGCGCACATTGGGACGACATATTAATGACAGTTTTAATGTTAAAATGAATGAAATTAAAGAACAAATTGCCAAAGTGCAAACAGTTTGCAAAACTTATGATATTTGGTCAACTCCAAAGCGGAGTTTTATGGGGATTACATGTCATTGGGTTGACCCAGAAATTTTTATTCGTAAGTCAGTAGCTCTAGCTTGTAGGCGTTTCGCAGGAGCACATACATATAATCGAATTGCGGAACTTTTGTGTGACATAAACGATGAGTTTGGAGTATCTCCTACAAAAATTATTGCAACAGTGACAGACAATGGAGCAAATTTTGTTAAAGCGTTCAAGGAATTCAGTGTGCAGGTGAACTTTGGGCCACAAATAGATGATGACACAGAAATCAGCCAAGTTGAAACTGTCATTGAAAACAATGGTGATCATGACGCGATTTTTGATTTATCAGAAGTTGAATTAGAATTCTTGGAAGAATATTGTCAAATTTTAGAACCGATTGCAGCAGCTTTAGAAAGACTGCAAAGCGATAAAAACTGTTTCTACGCCGATTTGGTTCCAACTCTGTTTAAAGTTAGCAGTCAACTTTCTACACTGAATTCTTCTGTAAATTGGCACCACTGCCTACCACTTCCCAATGCAATTACAAAAGGATTTAACAGCAGGTTTGTTTATTTCCTTCCATTAATCCCAAAAGTGAACCAGGCTATTATGGCAACTCTAACTCATCCATATTTTAAAATGCGCTGGTTGTCACAGTCTTTGAGTGATCAAAGAAATCGCTTGCAATTTGCTTTTGTTTCAGAAGCCAAAAAAAGTATTGCAATCAACTCCTCATGATGCACACTCACACAATACAAAGAGTGTGGAGTCTGATGACGATTACTTTGGCTTCAGACTGAACACTTCCGAATCTGCCAATGCCACCACTTCAAGTTCTAATGGTGAACTTGAAGCTCTTCAATATTTGGAGGATTCAAAAAAAGATTTATTATTGTTAAATAATTACCCGACCATAAAACAGCTGTTTTTGCGCTATAATGCTACGTTGCCATTTTCGGCACCTGTTGAGCGTCTTATCAATTTTGCTGGAATAATAGCAAGACCTCACAGACGCAAATTAAGTGATAAACCGATTGAAAAACTATTGTTGCTTAAAAATAACTAGTACAATTAAATTCTTTTTGATTATAACAATTTTCAATGAATTGGATAAACCTTTTTTTTTGCTTTCTAATATTTTAATAAAGAGAAAAAATTCAGTTTTTTTTTCAAAACTATATAGTGTGTAATTTGCCCATCTCTGAAAACGGTAATAATAACAACCTCCATTATTGCAATAGTAATAATAACAATACAAAAAATTTGCAAAGCTGGATGGAGACGTACATGCCCTTGATTATACACACACACACACACCACACGCACACACATACAAATACATGCGTACGTACTCATACATACGCGCCGATTTCTCTTATGTTTATAACAAAAAGACATCAAAAGTACCGACGTTGACACGTTTAAAATATTCTTAAGTCTATTTGTTTAATTTAATTTCATTGCGATATCAACGCTAGTTATGATTTTAGCAAAACACATCGAAGAAATTGTTCATATGTCGATTGTTTTATAATATAACTCGTTTACAATAATAATATTGCTATTAATTTTTGTTGTTTTTATTATTATTGTTGTTGTTTTTATTATTATTATAATTAAATTATTTAAAATGAGCCCAATTTCAATAGCAAAATATTAATACAACGTACATTTGCAAATAAATTTTTTAGGTGAAGGTGGCAGATCAATCACATTGATTCTTAACTTGTAAATTTAACTCTAAACGTTAACGAGCCGTTGAATCTATTACCGAACTAGCTGCATTTAGAATAGAAGAGCATTGATTGATGACGCACATGCATGGTTAGGTGACATTCAAAGGTGATTTAATACATGTTCGTATGAAAATTTGCTGTCTGTTGTTTGCACGTTGTTTCTAGATATGTACCGTACTGAGTGACTACTGAGCAATGTTTAGTCAAACTTCTCTTTCAGTCAGTCGGTGAAACATCTAATCTGCCCACTTGAACAACTTCTAAGAAAACATCATCATCCTCATCAATATTATCGCCATCATCTTCGTTATCGTTATTAGGAAGGAGCACTCACAACTCACAATCATCGTCTAGAGTTTTCTAACATAACCCTCCTATTAATAATAGTTAAAACATTATTTCACCAAAATTAACACCAATTATTATTTTATAAATATTCTTGTTTGTTCATTCATTCCTCTTGCATTCGGTCGGTTTAATTTTTATCTGTTAATGTTAGATCTAATAAAAATTGTTAGAGTTTTATGTAAATAAAACACATTCCTACTTGCTATTTACGTTATAATGTATGCTTGGTAAGCTGGCTCAACCTAAGTTGTAAAAATAAAATATCTATCCGTGCAAAATTATAATTAAGCTATTGCATTAGAAACAAACACACACAACAACAAATACACAGGCGCAAACACACATACACACAACGCATCCGTACATAAACAACTTGAAACAGCGGTTCTCTTTGAGCCTGTATGACGAATTCTTTTGATGTTTGAACTATCGATTTTTTTATTTAAATAAATTACTTTGATGTGTCGGCTTTTATTTCTCCATAGAAGTAACTACTCTCCTTCATTCGATCTTCACAATACTGTATTTTAATCTAATGATGATCTGGCACAGGATATCATGGAGTTTGCGGATCGCATCAATGCTGATCAAAAAGGCTATTTATATAAAAATCGCAGGTAGGTGCTATTTTGCAGTAAACTTCGATTAAAAATGATATACTACGTCAAACAATGTAAAATTTTCACTTTGCGCATATCAGAGCTCTTAAATACATGAACATAACAATTATAATAGTAAAGGTTAATACAAAATGTCATGGAACTTTTATGCGTGTAAAATAAACCTCTATTACTGAACTGTGAAGAGCAATGTACAAACATTTCATTCAACATGAACGGGAAAGTGGACTTGAAACATTGCTTTTGTTTATGTTAACCAACATTCAAGCATTGAAATTTTTGTTTATTCAGTGCGTGAAATAGGATGAAATGTAGAAGTTTAGTCACAGGTGTCTTGTGGGATTGCAGTCTTGTTATGTTGGGGTGTTTCATGTAGTTTGAAGATGTGGTGAGGCATGGCGTGGTGAAGTTTTGATGGTGGGAGGAATCGATGTTAAATGAGATGCACTTGCAAACGTTGTGTGCATTGAGAAAAAAGTATATATTCATGTTTGTAACAGTTTTTGTTGTATATGGTTATGTTTTAATTATTGGAATATTGTGTTTATGTTATTTTATTTTTAGACTTGCGTAGAAATATGCATTCCTGTATTATATTTTTTACTACAAAAACACACACACAACAAGCACACACACACTAAAAACACACGATATGAAGTACATCGTCGAATCGACGGATTGGGTAGCGTTGAGTCCTAGAATGAGCAAAAGGTCCTATCTTGAAGAACATTTTTGTGCACATGTTCTATAGATCCATACACCTGTACTATCGCCGCTTAAAACCGTCTGTTTTCGTCGAGCCCTTTTTTCAGCAAGGGCAGCTGTACGTCCCAGTTCAAAAGCGGAACTGCCGACTGGGTAGACTTCTTCCATTCCAAGCGCCACAGAGCATCAACACAAGAAACCTTGAGGTCTCAACCACATTTTTTCATATTTTTTTTTAATCTGTCTTTGTATCTACGTATTTGCCAGTCGATTTCCCAGCGCCAGTTAACCAAAAAAACCCGCTTGGGAGTTCTTATATCTGGAATACGTATAACAAAACTGAGTTTAAAGCAAAAGCGATTCTGTATCCATTGTCAGAGATTGGCGGTAAAGTAATTCAAGTAATGAAATTACGTAATTCAAATTACAATTGTAATTTGTATCGAAATTACTTTTTAAGTAATTGTTAATTTGTAATTTAGTATTTTCATCTTTCATGTAATTTGGTAATTTCAAAGTAATTTCAAATTACTTTTTAACTAAAAAATATAGTTTATATGCGAGTGAACAGATATACTTACACAAATTAATATTATTGTTATCATTATTATTGAAATTTTTTTTTCTTAAAATTCTAAAAATTATTTTAAATTCTAAAAATGTATTTGATTAAAAATTTCATTTGCTACTTTGAAGTTTTATGGTCATATAGCTACATCAAAGAAGTTAACTTCTTTGATGTTTGACGCTTTTTTTTCTTTTTTCATTCCTCCTTTCTTTCCTTCTTTCTTTCTTTCCTTCTTTTTTCAGTTGTTCATTAAACGATTGAACAAATTGTTGATCGAAAGAAAGTAAATTAATAAAGGAATATGAAAATGACATCGAAGAATATGTAAAATCAAATGTAGTGAGTGGTTAATAGTGTCTTTCTTTCTTCAGTCATTCGTTAAATGATTGAACAGATTGTTGATAGAAAGAAAGTAACTTAATGAATGAATATAAAATTGACATCAAAGAATATCAGCGCAAAGAATAATCAATGTTTAAATAACTTTAAAAAAATTTTTTTCTTCATTTATTCAAAACTGGTTTGATGTAATTTAATTTCATGTAATTTGAAATAAGTAATAATTAGTAATTTGGCTCTTTTATTAAATGTAATTTGTAATTGCATACAATATTTAGAGTATTTTGTAATTTGTATCGAAATTACAATATAGTGTGTAATTTGCCCATCTCTGCCCATTGTGCCGCACTTTGCCAGAACTAATGTGCTTGAGACTTTGTCTTCGCACCTGATACCGATGTGACGACGGTAGAACGTCCAAGTTTTGCAGCCTTACAGCAGTTAAGTGAGCACAACTGCTCTGTATACCGCAATTTTGGTGGCCAGGATGACTCCGTGCTCTTTCCAAAGACGTCCGGTCAACATATCAAAAGCAGCACCTGCTGTTATATCGTCATCGATAGTATCGCTGTTGGAAATATATCGGTCTGGATAACAAAATCTATCAAAAGAATTGAAATGCGAGTCGTCCGCCATCACATGGGCCATTTCCTTCAACAAAACTGGGTAGTTCTGATGCAAGACCTCAGTTTTCTTTAGACTGACTGTAAGACCATAAGCTCATTAAATCAATAACATATGAATATATTCTGTTATATGCAACAGCGTCTGAACCTCGGTCTGCGTGCGTGCAACCAGTGCACTGCACAATCATCAGCAAATAACAGGTCGCGAACAATAGTGTCCAAGACACAGTTGTGCTTACTGTGTCTTGGATTTCGCATGCAATCGTCTGATATTAAAGACATCCCCATCCATATAGTAGCATACTGGTATCCCCTCACTACCAGGATGAAAAGCAACTCGAAGCGTCAACGAAAAGTAGATGTTGAACAGCAATGGAGCCGCAACACATCCTTGCTTGGTCCCGTTTGCAACATCGAAATCCTCAGACCGTTCATCATTTTCAATCAAATTCGCTTGTATATCTTCATGGAAGGAACGAACAATGGTAACAAAAGCCGGAGGCAACCAGTTTTTGACAGGCAGCGCCAAAGTGTTGATCTATCAACTGAATCAAAAACCTTGGTCGGGTCAACAAAAACCATGTACAGTCCTCGCTGCTGCTCATGACATACAAACACACATATACACACTCCAAACAAACAAACACACACACACTACAAACTCACACTACAAACAAACGCACACACACCAGTCTGTTTGAGCATTTAGCATGTTCTCAGTTGATAAAAGACATAAGGCATTAATATATACAATCTACCACATGTGTTTAACACGCGCAATATCAGAAGCAGAGCGCCTCATATAAGTTATATAAATTGTTATTTAAATGTGTTATCAAGGAATCTCTTTGATGTTCTTTAATTATAACATGACTCTTTTCTTTCATCTTAACAACTGCATGTAACAGCAGAAGTAACCATAACAACTATCTTATTCTCTTTCTTTCTTTTTTCCTTTCTTTCTTTTCTTCTTTCTTTCTTTCTTTTTTCTCTTTCCAAGTTTTTTCTTTTAATTACCTCTTTTCTTCTTTTCCTGTAATAATTTTTTTTTCTCTGTTTTCATACATGCTTGTTTCAAGTTTAATTATGACCTTTTTTTTCTTCCTAACATTTTTCACATTTTTTTATTTGTTTTGTCAACCTGCAGTTGAAAAGAATGTGGAAGCACGTAAAACGTGTAAATCCCGCAGAGTTGCTTTGTAGCGTAGCCGTTCATTCTTAATTGCATTTATAAATTTGACAAGTTTAACAGTCAGTCACAAATTTTCTTAATTCAGATTACAAAAATTACTTTTTCAAAATAAATTATGATAAATTGTATATATAAATAACATGGACTTAACATTATAAGCACGCTTCATTCATGTGTATTTCATCAGTGAACACAAACTTTACCCACTGTTTTAAGATATTTTTTATTTTTATGGAGTAACAATGCTTTATTTACGTGGGACACAACAATTACAAAATAGACCTAAGCACACACACATCAGTATGAATGAAGTGTTGTTGTTTGTTATTTAGTAGGCAGTTTATTTGTCAAATAATGTGTTGTTTTGCTTTTATGTTATTGTCTGTCAAATAGTTGTGTA